ACCGGGCGGTGGGGAGGCTGCGCTGGGACCTCCGGGCACTGGGGGCTCCGGGGCATCAGGCGGGGACCCAGCGGCCGCTGCAGACCTGGCGGAGCAAGGTCGTTCACCCCAGCCACTTCCCACTGCCAAACAGCCCCACCATGTCATTTCTAGATGGACCAGGGTATTTTTCCCCCCCCGCCTTGTTTTTCTGCAGCACGGTTTGTTTTTTCCAGGCTGACTCTCACACTCCCTCAGCCCATTTGTCGGGATTCCCCCTTTTTTGGCGCACTTGCTTTCATCTGCAGGTCGGGTGGTTCCTGCCTGTGCCTTCAGGTGTCACTTCTAGAAAACCAGCATTTTAAGAGATTTCTGTAGAATCGCTTCATTTTTTCCTCGTAAGTGCAGCAGAACTGGTCTGGTCGGGCTTTGGGTTACGCTTATTACTCTTCACTCACGTGCTGGGGGTAGGTGACATCCAAGAGAGGAGGTAAGTCAATTCTGAGGAAGTTCTCAGCCCATGATTTGCAAAGCCAGCCCTACAGATCTGAGTTGGCAAGCAGCAGCAGCAGCTGCTTCGTGCGCCCCAGCTCTGTTTTTCTCAAGGTTTGGGGACACAGAAGGTTTTTCCCCCAAGAAACTTGCTACTTATGGGTCATTTCCAGGCAGGAGCTTGCAGAGGAGGGTGGGAGCTGAGGAGCGCCGAGTGGGTTCCTTCTCTTGCAGAGCACAGGGAAGGGCTGGTTTTAGCTCCTCTGCCCCTTGGAAAGGAGCAGGGGAAGCTCAGCACATCCCTGCCACCAGCACCCAGCCCCCTGCTCCCACAGGACCAGCCCTCACAGGGTGCAAATGGGGACAAGCACCCCAAGAGCAGGACAGGGTCAGCCGCACCCCTTGCCCAGGCTGCAGAGAGGCTCATCCCTGGAGGACCCTGGCACTGGATGACCTTTGGTTATAGAAACTGAAATTCCTTTTTGAAGTGAGTGTCTTTACATACAGCCTGCTTTCTGCCTCTGGGCAGAGCCCAGGACCACACACTGGGGAAAAGCATGCAGCAAGAAGGGACAAACAAACTTTTGGGTGGAAAAAAAAAAACCAGACACCACAACCAACTTTTCCTTGCAGTTAAGTAGCCAGCAATAACAGCCCCCATCATAGGCTGCTTTGCCCATTGGGGTGAAGGGAAGCACCCAGCACAGAGTGGGAAGGGCTGCTTTACCCAGGGAGCAGCCCAAGGCTCAATTCCCCCAGCCCAGCCCCAAGAGGGGCTAGTCAAGAGCTGGAGAAGACCAGGCTCAGCTTAGTGATACCACTTAGACCAGCAGCACACAGCTTGGGCTGCTCAAAGCCAGGTCTGGCCAGGAGGCGCTTACAGCTCTTAAGCAAGCTTGGGTGTAAAGCCACACATTACACTCCTAGCCCCAGGAGCTGTACCTTGGTAGGTGGGATCCCAGGGCAGGGCTGCTCTCCTCAACATCCCCCAGCCAGCAAAAGCAGAGACCATTCACAGCTGGGTTTGACATTCTATAAACAGTTTATTAAAGTTCAACATACAAAGTCATTCCTCCATCCATCTGAGCCTACATCCTTCTCAAGGAGTGCTTGGCAGCTACAGCCCAATGAGCAGGGATGGCTTCTCGGCTTCTCTCTCTCCCCCCAGCCCCTCTTTGGGCCCCCCCCCCCCCCATCAGCTGCATCTTCTCTCATCAGATAGAGTCATTTTGCCAGCGTACAGGAGCATCCTCAGTGTCCTGCAAGCGAGAGAGGGAGAAGTCACCGTGCCCACCTCCAGCAAGGGCAGGTCATGAAGTCTCCTTCCCCCTACCCCCCCAAGGGGTTTCTCCAACTCCTGGCATTGCCCAGCACCATCACCAGGTAAAATAGGGACCCGTCACCTGCAGAAACGCCAGCTGTGCTTCAAGGCTCCAGCTCCAAGACACAGGAACTAACTCCAGGGACTGTAAAGGCCACTTGCCTGTTCAGAGGATGCCCAGAACCCTTGGTTATCCATTTCCAAGGTCTGGGTCCCTGCTTCAGGGTCTCTTCTGTCCCAGAGGACTGCCATGTCCCACCAGCCAAGCCTCTTGGTCCTCAGACACTAGGGAGGAGAGCATGGAGGCTGCAGCCATGCCTGGCCCCATGCCATCCCTCCACTCTGCACTCCCCTTGCAAGGGGCTGCTTTGCCCCAGCAGACAGACATCGCCCTTACCACCAGCAAGACGATGGGAGCTGTAATGATGCAGAGGCCGCACACAACCATGATGGCCACGCCATGTTCAGGAAAGCCTGGTTCAGGCAGGGGGGGCTCCAGCATGTCCTCTGGAGCAGAGCACAGCAGTTAGCACAGCCTGCAGGACAAAGGGGCTCTACCCCACAAGGCTGAAGCCACCCACTCTCCTTTGCAGCACAGGGGGTAGCATATAGGATGCCAATAACATCTATTTGACACCCTCCGTGCCCTTTCCGGACAACCCTTCCCTCCTGTCCTATGCCAGCCTGCAGCAGATGGCTCTGTCTCCAATTGCCCCAGGCTGTGCAGAGGGCTAGGGCATGGTTGTTACTAGAATTGTACTTTCAGATCAACCATCGCAAGCTGGTCACCTCACCAGCCAAGACATCTCACCCTCCCTTTGCATAAGATACCTGGATCTAGCTAGTCATGAATCTACTCCACTCTCACTGCAGTCATGGAGCCACAAGCTGGTGAAGCCTGTACACCCATACCCCAAAGGGAAGCTTACCTCCCACAGCAAGAGAGTATGGATCCACCTGGAAGTCTGAACCAGCCAAAGCCTTGTTTGACCCAACTGAGAGCACAAGTGCCTCCAAAACTTCCAGGCTGGTTGGAGCAGGGTGCTGGAAGACCACATCCCCATGGCAGATCAAGGAGCCAGGCCTGTGGACAGGGTTGGGAAGAGCTCCAGCAGCTGCCAGTCCCACTGTCACCCTGCAGCCACATGCTGGGCTGTGGCCATGGGCACAGCCAGACTGCCAGCTGGTTTTGCTCAGAGGGGCCCCAGGAGGATGTCTCTGCACTCAGGGAAGCATTGGGTTTGCATCTGCTCTTTGGGATGGAAGGAACATTACTGGGGGTCTGGCAAGTCACTCCTGAGACAGCACATAAATGCTTGACCTCAGCTGCCTGCTGCAGACCCTTCTGTGGCCGAGATGATCCACCTGACAGCCATGACCTGTTGGTTGATGTCTGCAGGGAGATCCCCGGCTCTGTACACCCCTGCCCTTCCCTCCTGCCCCAGCAGACCCTCTGCTCCCACTTACAGGAATCCCCTTATCACCACTTGCAGGAAGCTGCTATGGTCCCTCAGGGCTCTCGCCACCTGGAAGAGAGGTTTTTCTCAGCTCCCCACCAGCCTTCAGGGTGTTTCACACAGCCAGACCACCACAGCCACGACAGCAGGGACACAGGGCAGCTGCAGTCCTGCAGCACCTCCAGGTCCCTGGCTGCGTTGTGGTGGCCTGAACCACTGAAGCACCATCAGCAGAGAAGACATCCTGCCACTAAAGCCTCAGTGCCTGCCTTCAGCAGGTATCAGCCATGGCACTGGAGTTGAGGGTCTGGTTTGGACAACCCCAAAGCAGTCCCTCTTCCTCCAGTGGTCCTTGGCCTCCTTTTCTCAGCACCCTGGGAGGACCCCCTCCCACCAGCCACGCCTACCGCATCACCAAGGTCTCTGGTGAGCTCCTGGTGCTCTACAGCAAGTGGATCCAGAAGGTCCTCGCTGAAGTGTCTGTTGGTGATGAGGAAGGAGACCGGGTAAACCTGCAGGTGAAGCCTGGCTCCTGAAGAGGCAAGACACAAGTGCTCAGTGAACAGAGCTGGCAGCGAGCCCCACCACACAGAGGGACTGTCCTTACCCTCCACTGAGAGGGAGGTGAGGTCCACAGAGCAGGTTGCGAGAGCTGTCAAGGCTTGCAGAACCTCTGCAACATCAGCATGGACGATCGTGTCAAGGTAGATGTCTCCAGCGATCTCCAGGTTCCCACTGAGGTTTCTAAGGGGAGAGGAAGGGCTCTAAGGCAGGCAGGAGAGCTGGGACCAGGCTTACCAAGCACACTCTTGCTGGTCTTTTTTCAGCTGCTCCTGACTACTCAGCCCAGGAAAGGTGCTCAGTTGCAGCATTTGCAACCAGCTGCACATTACCCTCCCAGGTTTCCTAGTGCACAACTCACCCTCTCCATCTTTGCAGCATGGCTAATTAGCTGCAGAGTGGACAAGAAGGTAATTTAATGAAGAGCTTTGGAGAGGGGTAGTTGTGTCTCATACCTTAGCTGGGCAATAGTGAAGTTCCTCACATGGTAGAGGGCACTGAGAGACCAAGTCACCTAGATGAAGAGGAGACAACAGCTCACACCCTGCCCCTGCTTTAATGCACATTATCCCACCCCGCAGGCAGTGCAGCAGCCAGCCTGTGCCCATTTTCCCAGCATCATCCTTTGGAAGAGCCACCAAGGCTCACCATACCTTGCTGGTCAGCCCCTGCAGGAGGTCTGTCCTGCTCTTCCCAAGCGGGAAGAGAGTGAGAGAGATGGACAGCTTCTCTGGGTCCAGGTTCTTCAGGCTGAAGCCTAAAAGAGTTCAGAGGACAGTTATGCCCATACCTGTTCCTCCACCTTCCTTGGGAGGTATCAGTCAGCCTTGAGCTCATCCTCTGCCACACACTGAAAGCAGAAGCCAGCAGGGCAGTGAGTGAAGATGAGTACCTTTTGTGGTGGGAAAGGCTTGGGATGTACCACCTCTCAGGACAGGAGAAGCAGGTCAAGGAGGTGAAGCCAGAGTTTAGCAGAAGCACTGGACCACACAGGTCCAACTGCTGCAGATGCAGTGTCCAGCATCCTTAACGCTAAAGGGTTTTGGCATGGGTCAGGAGAAACGATGTTAAGTGAAGGTGAAGCCTGAAGTCCAAACTGGACAGGTTTTCGCTTTGATAGAGGTATAGGAAGGACACTTGACAGCAGCAGCTCTGCTGTGGGAAGATCTCTACGGCTTACCACTGGACTGGACAGATTGTGGCTCCAGTTGCCAGCTGAAGATGCTCCTTCCCCTGCTTGCCTCTGTGACGACCGTTCGGATGAGGTGGGAGTTGGTGGGAGCAGGAACATTGCCCTGGAACAGAGCCTCCCCTCGTACAACCACCGAGCCGTTCCTGGGAGGGAGATGAGATGATGGGCAGCCCACCTCCCCTTTGGAAGCAGCTTTAGAGCCCCATCATCCTCACATTAACACCCCACCCAAAGAGAGGTCTCAGGTAACTATCTGGAGCTTCAGACACTTTCAACCAGAGATCCCTTGGGATGATGACTCTGGGGAAGGAACATAGCCCCTCACAAGACCTGTCTGGAGTATTTTGCTGGGCAAACCCTTCCCTGCAAGCCAAACCGACCCCTCTCCATCTGTTGCCCCAGGGCAGAGTTGCATACTCACATAAACTCAAGGACATTTGCCTGCAGGAAAGTCTCATAGGTGGACAACATTTGGCTTAGCTGTTAGAAGCAAAGAAGCACCTGTTAACTGAGAAGCTTTTACAAGCTCCTGCACATGAAGGGGGCATACACCAGGAGATGTGCAATAAATACAGAAGTCAGCCAGCTCAATTTGCCCAGGGTAGGGTGTGCTGGTACCCCAGGGTATGCCAGGCCTCTGGGGATGGCGATGGCTGAGCTGGCGCACCCAGGGCTCCCATCAGCCTAGATACAGCACCCAGGAGGAAATACCCCAGCACCTACATGGTGTGCAATGGCCTTGTTAGCTGCCAGAAGTGAGGGGAGTCCAGTCCCTCCTCTAACCAGGCATCCCAGTCCAGCTCTGGTGGAGCAGTGCCAGGGATTTACTTATCTCCACCGTGCCTAGGTGGGTGATAGACCAAGCCAGGGCTTGCGGCAGTTGCTGCAGTAGCTTCTCAGCTGCACCCCCTGCACCCAGAAGTACCAAGATCTCCACCAGTCAGCTCCTGCACTCACCATCAGCCTCACTTCTTCCTCCAGTTCCCTGTAGCTCCTTGAAGCCCTGCTGCTCAGAGCTTCGGTGTAAGCAATGCCCAACAGCCGGAACTGCAAGGGCAGCACATGCACAGGCAGAGGCTGTGCAGGAGAGGGGAACCCAGGGGGGTGGGATGCAGGGGGCTTCACCCCTGGCAAGCTGGGTTTGCCCATTGTCATCAGCTCAGATGGGGTGAAGGCTTCTTCTGCAGCTGCAGGAAGATGTTCTCTGGCTGTGGAAGAGTGCTGGAAGGCAACAGAGTGACTGGACATGGACTGAGCATCAAGAGTCATTCCTGCTGCTGCAGCCAGGGTCCAAGAGCTGAGCAGGGAGCCGGCTGTGTGCACAGCTCCAGTGGAAGTCAGCAGGTAGTATAGAGATGGCAGGCTTGTGGTGCCAGTGTGGTGCACAGCCTCAGAGCAATGCCCCAGAGCTGGGTTCTTAGAGCTGGGAGGGGGTGCAGAGCCTGGGCTGGCATGGGTGGGCCCTAGAGGTCCTGCTGGAGCAGCAGTGGTTCCTACCAACACTGTCCTGGGCTCACTGTGCCTGGCTTCTTCTGTCACAGCCACCTGTCCAGGCAGCAGACTCATCTCTGCCACCTTTGTGGCCTGGCGTTGTCCTGCCGCAGGTCCATCCTCAAATGCTGTTTGCATCCAGATCCCTTCTGCACAAGATGGACTCTGGGTAGGTGACCCCAGGCGGGAGCCATGTGTCATGCCTGCAGCTCTTGGAGAGGGGGAACCTACTGTCACAGCTCCATCCTTGCAGGGGGCTTTGGTCGCTCCAGGCTCCAGGATGGCATCAAGGGCTGCCAAGCTCACTGTAATTGCAGTGGGACCTGCAGTGCTGGGGACCCTGGTCTGAGCAGGGGAAAGGCGGGCTTTGGTGGATGTCAGCAGAGTCTGCTGCACAGCAGAGGACAACAGATCACTTCGTTTCCCTGAGGTGACAGCAGGTCCCCCAGACTCCGCTGTACGAAGGAAGGGAGTCGGCATTCGTGGGTAGTTGACATCATGAGCCAATGCAGCACTGTGAAGCGATGCCAAGACAGTGGCCAGAAGTCCAGACCCATTTCCTGGGACCTTGGCCAAGACGGTGTCCACCAGCAGAGCAGCTTTGCCATGCAGGAAGGTGCCAGCAGGCTGTGTGTCCCAGGGCATCGGGGGTGTCACGGCAGAGGGTACCCACACAGTGCCAGGATGCATTTTGGTCGAACTGGATGTCCTTTCTTTCGGCAGAGCTGAGGGCACCCCTGAAAGGGGCACCGGGTGAGGAGCAGCAGTATGGTCCTTGCCCATACCAAGGTCAGGCAGGCCAGGGCTCAGTCTCACCTCTTCCTTCTGCCTGTTGTGGCTCCTCATTGTGGCTCCAGCAATCGAAGCTCCACGCTGAATATCAGAGAAGCCACTGGCTGTGGATTGATCAGATAAAGGCACACTGCTGGGATTCCGCACTGCTGTCACAGCTCTGGCCCAAGGAAGCACATCGCCCGCTGGGACCACAGCAGGAGGCTTAGAGCTCGCAGCTCGGCTGAGATCTGCTCTGCAGGGCACAGTCCAATGGTCAGGAGGTGCCCTAAGGGCCAGCATCTGGTCACCTCTGGGCTGGTCTGCTGTGTTGTGGCTCTGGGAGGGAGCACCCATCAGTGTCCATACTGACCCTGTGCGTGCTGGGGCATCAGATGGGACACGAGCCCCATCAGCAGCCCCTTCATGTGAGATCAGTTCGGCAGGCACCACCTCCAGCAAGGCAGCCCCTGCAGAAGGGCCAGAGGCAGCCATGGGCAGGGAGGCAGCCTGCTGCTGTGCCAGGGAGGTGGCAGGGACCCAGGCAGCTGGCTCACCCCAAGCATGGGGGATGCCTTCAGACCTCCCCCCGGGGCTCTGGGGCTCTGCCATGCCCACTGGCTGCCCCAGGCCATGGGCTGAGGTCACTGCAGGCACCTGCGCTGCATCATGCAAGCCTGGTCCTGTGCCATGGAGGTTTCCCAGAACAAGGCGGTGTTGGGAGCCAGGGCTGGGGCCACGGGTGGTCCAGAAGGACTGAGCTGAGGTAGCAGGCACCCCTGTGCCAAGCCACTGTGCAGGGGACAGCATCGCAGCCACTGCTGTGCCCACCCTGAGCCCTTCCCCGTGCCTGGATCCAGGCTGCCACTGTGGTGAGGTCTGAGCTGTTGAGGCAGAGGCAGTGGCTGTGGTCAGTGTCCCCAGGCTCCATCCCTCAGCATCTGTACCATGGGTCATGCCTCCTTCAGCCCCTGGGAAGCAGCCTGGGGTGCCCGCAGAGCCCATCAGCACCCTCCCACGCTCCTGCATCGCTGGGTAGTTGAGCAGGTCCCCATGTGTTGGCACCAGATTGTCACCTGTCCCTCTCTGGGAGGCTGGCAAGCCTGGCTGAGCATGGGAAGGAGGCAGGGAGCCCGGGGGGGGCTGGGATGGAGCAGCCAGAGACCCCAGGCTGTATGGGAGAGCAGTGGCAGACAGGCAGATGGCCAGCAGCAGGAAGGCTTTGCACCACAGCCCACTGGCAGCAGCAGCCACACGGGCAGCAGGACCCAGGGCCACAGCCATGGCCTCTTCCCTCTCACCATGGAAGATCATTTTCAGCTGTAGGGCAGCAACATCTGTGGGGTCCGGTGGTCCTACCCCTTGTCTCTGCTTGGGAGAAGCCATGGGGAGATCCCAGCTGTGAAGAGGTACAGCAGGAGCTTTAGGCTAGGTCCCTCCAAGCTCCCCCCACCCCAGCAACAGTGGCTAAACCCACCCCACCACAACCCACCCCCCCGA